TTTTAATTTATCATATTCCAACTATCTAGAAAGCAATTGATAAACAACCATGTGGTTAAGAGACACTGCATTTCACAACAGCAGCATCTGAATTGCCTGCCTTAACTTTGCTTGTTATATCACAATTAATAACCCTGATATCAATCAGGGTTTGGTTTTTAAGAAAAACAGTACTGAAATAGAATCAAAACAGCACTAAATATATTGTCAAACAATCAAATCAAAGCATTTTCCTGCCAGAGAAGTTAGAACCATATGATTTTTAATGTTCCTTCAAGCTCAAACTGTTATATGAGTCCATTTCAAAGCTACTTTATTGGCCAAGAGAATACAAGAATAGCTTGCCTGGTGAGACCATAGACCCCCAACCTCAGTATGCCACTTGTAACCACGGGCTAACAGGCAGTTCCACAGGACTAGCATCAAAACAAAAGAATAAACCTTACAAAACATTTCAAATCCCAGAACAGCTGTAAATCAAAAAGACAGTATCTTTCAGACATCCAGAGGAAATTTTCTTCAATGGACTTATCCAAACACTTTCTGACCCAAGAAAATGTTAGCATTTACAGTAGTCCCCTGCACAAAATGCCACTAATTCCTGAAAAGCCAGGAGGTTTTTTTAATACTTTTTTTTTACTGTATGCCCCCTAGTTGCTGAGAAACAGATTGTGGCCAACAAACTAACAACCATTCTATAACCCTCATAACCACTTCTACTTGCAATCTATCATCAAAACAAATTATTTGCAAGCCAAAGTCTGTTATGAAAAGAATTAATTGTTCTTCCAAGTTTAAGAGAGAAACATTCCCAACAGTATCCCTGTCCCTCCTTCAAACCTGTAACAAACTAAAACAAGGAACATGCAGGAAAGTATTTCAACTATTGATTCCTGCTACACTTTGGAAATACTGAAGTACAGCATGACTGTACATACACTCTGAACATTATCTCATTTTGTTCACGATATCAACATTTTTACATATGTTATCTGAAGATCCATTTCTCTTTTAAAGAAGATGCTGTATAAAATTCCTTCAATGAGTCTGCTTTGTCATCCCCAGCAGGCAGGGAAGTGGGGAGGCACGCAAGTAAAATCTGAAATCCGTAGGTTTTAGTGGTTTGGGCTAAATAAAGAATACTAGAAAATATGCTCCATAATGTCTCTAAATATTCTGGGGGAAAAGCATTTGTAAAACAGGATAAACTGGGAACTTCAGTGGTGCTAAAGATGTCCTTTTATAGGACAGAAAAGGTATTAACAGTCATAGTAATCTTTATACATACCTAAGTTACTTGAGAGGTTGTATAATGTATAAACCAAAATTGTATATATTTTATTCTGAGTGTTTATGTTTCTTAATTATTCTTCCTATTCATTAAAGACTTGGAAGCAGCATCTACTGGCAATTCTCTCCCAACATAGTCTTGTGTGATTCTGAAGTATCAGAGAATATTCAATATGGTTTTCATGTAGTTCAGAAAACCTGAATAAACTGCACAATTGAGACTTCTATTCCAGACAAGCATTATCAGCATGCAAGCCCCATAAGAAAGTGGATCTCTCTATTGTGGATCTCCCAAAGTTACAAGCTTTTCTATGCTACTCCTTTTTTGACACAACTTTATCTTCCTTAAGAGTTTCTGCGCATCTCTCCAGTGTTTTCCCATCCAAGTTTCTTTTTCTTTTAGGATACTATGGAGCCACTCACCACCTTGAGCAACTGGTTCTTTCTAACAAATATGTAACATTAAATATGGACTTGCTGTAACTCCTCTGAAGTGCATACATGTCTTAGAAAAGACCATTTATCTCAGCTTAACAGCTGGTCATTATTGACCAACATCAAGGTCATTAGACTGGCAGATCAAAGTAACATTGCTGCAGTGAAAATCTTTTAGTTCACTAAATAGTGAACAGATCATGTCCATTACTTGCAGTGAACAAGACACTATGCAAGGCCAGACAGCTTATTTTCAACACAGCAACCAGTGACAGCCTGAGAAGTCACTGCAGCAGCCAGTATTACAAGGGAAAGGAAAGAAGTGTACTATGTTTCAAGTACTGCACTCCTGATATTTGACATTTCTGTGCCTGATACTGGTTTGCACGCACAGATTTGTCTAATGATTATGCTGCTTCACTTCTGCACACAGGCAGAACAGCACGAGCAGTTGGAAAGACAGCATAAAACCATTAACATTTTAGATTCAAAGTCTAATGTAAATGTAGATCTAAGTCTACCAGTACAAGACTGCAGATCCAAAAGGCTTGAGACCCTCTGTCAGTCATCACAGCCATGGCATAAACCCCAACCCAACGAAGTAACAAGTGCTTTACTTCTAAAATTGTGTTCCATAGGTGGAACAACAACCAAAAAAAGTCATTACAAGAATCCAGATAGAATAAACTGTTACTGCAGAACCTATCTCCCTTCACCATCATTCCTCTATGCAAAGAGTGCTCCTACCAGAGGTGCCAATTCCCCCAGTAACTTGAACTACACAGGTAAAGAAAGGGGTGGGTCAACAAACCACACAGGAGGCTCATTAATTCATACACAGATAAGAAAGCATCTTCTTCTTTGGAATAATAAATTCTTCTATTCAGAACACATAAATCAAATCACACACATTGCTAAGTCATTTGATTTTTCACATACTTTTTATAAAGCATGTTTAGCAAAGTTATAAAGAACTTGCAATGGCCAGCACTGAGAAGCATTGTTTATAGAGTTTACTGTCATCTTGAGAGAATGAAGAAATAAGAATTAAATTACCTGCATCAGGTGAGTTGCAGCTAAATCATCCAATACTCACTTCCACATAAATTATCCACTGCCAAGCTATGGAATTCCTGTTTTCCTTCCAACCCAGAAGGCCTCAATCATCAAAAAACTCACACTTGACATAAGATTAACATTCTCATTAGCTTCAAGGGACAAAACTGCTGTTTGGGATCCAAACTATTAGTTTTACTGGCCACAAAATATGCTGCTACCTCGCAAATTAAGTTGCGGAGGAAACAAAAAAACCCACAGACCTAGTAAACACCTATCTTCAAAAAATATTCACAACACATTCCCATATCAGTCTTCACTATTGTATAGTGTAAGACCTAAAATCCAAGGGTAATGTCTTCCTCCCCTTCTACCCTTGGCTTCCAAAGTTATAAAAGAACCAACCAAAACACCCCTGTGCACAGGCACTGTGCAGCAACTCTGCTGCCTCAGTCCCATGACATTTGCACATGTATGTCAATCAACACATACATAATCAGGGTCAGAACTGCTGCTGTACCTCCACAGACACGCCAAAGGAATGGTATAGCCATGGACAACAAGCAGCAAGCACAAACAAAAAGCAGCAGAGCGGGCTAAGAGTGCATCAGGGAGTCCAGAGGCCACGTGAGTTCAGAGAAGCACGTAATCAGTCAGACACAACTTTTCAAGTCTCCAAAGTACTCTTCATGTTAGGGTACACCAGTACCTCGTTTTTAAGCAACAAGCCCATACTTAAAACAAATATTTCAAGGTGGTTTTATCTGGTAATGAATAACACTAAGTAACTTATTTATAACATTATGCTGCATCACTAAGATGCTAGAGAAAATTGGGAAACAGCCAATTGCTCTTCACTAAAAACACCCACCCATGTTCACCGTGGATTTTAAATTCAGCCATTTCACGAGGTTTAAAATGGTAAGACTTACAGTAAGTGAAACAAACAGTAAAACCTCTTTGGGTTTTAATTCTTTCTTAATTATAGCTGTAACAAAAACAGTGCAAAATACATGCTTATTATAGTCAAGAAGTTCCTAAAGAATTGCCCAGGCTCAGGCCTACTTCTTAGCTCTGAAATCTGAAAGTACATGCCTTGCAAACACCAGCTGCTGTTGCAGTGCAATTTGATGGAATGCTACTTCAAGACCATAAACATTCACTCAGTACAAAAATGACAAAAAATTTCTGGAAGCAATGAAGTCTGCTAATATTTTTTTACATTTTTATTATGTACATTTCTGTCCTATAAAAAGATAATAGCTCCTCTGTGGATACCTCACATTCAGTGGATTTTGCAATCTGTTCATAAACTGGTAATAGTCTATGCATGATTTTTTTTTACTTGCAAAAATAATTAGCAAAATTATCCTATTACTAAAAGCAAACGTTAGTGGCAAGAAATGTATATTGCAACTCCAACACTTGCTCTCTATCCTGAAAAGTTAGCCAATTTCCGTTCCCGAGACGAAGCTGGTTATTTTCGTGTACACTGAAATGACCACACCGCAGACTTATCGATTCCTCGCTCTTCTCCGATATGAAATCTTCAAAGAAGCAAGTCCAAAAGAAAGAGAGAACAAATTCGACCCGTCTCTAATTGCATGCCCAGCTAAGTCTTTCACTTACGATTTCCCTGAACTCCTTTTCCTCGTCCTGCCCTTGCTCGGGAGGCAGGGCCGCCTCCTAACTCCCTCTTTTCCCTCCAAAGCCAGAGCTCGCTGGGCTGCAGGGAGGCGTCGGTGCCTCCTCCCAGGCCCGGAGGCTCTGGCTGCCGGTAACCCGCACGGGCCCGAGGAGCCCCGGAGTCATTGTGCTGCGGGAGCCGGCCGCAGCTGTCAAGGCGCAGCGCAGCTCGGCCCGCGGGCGGGGAGGAGGGTCACAGCCCAGCGCCGCCCGCCCGCCCTTCCCGGGCCGCGCTGCGGGCCCCGCTCCGCGGCTCCGGGCGAGCGGCCTGCGGGGCCGGGGCCGCTCCGGAGCCGGGCGGGCGCCATGCTACAAACCAAAATGGCTGCCCCGGGGAGGGAGCCCGGCTCGGGCCTCCGCCGGTACCGCCGCTCCGCCCGCCGGACCTCGCCCAGGTACCGGCCCCGGGCCACGGCGAGCGGCTCGGCCCCCACGGACCTCGCTCGCCCAGGCAGCGCTGCCCCCGCACGCCGCGCGCGGCCCGGCCCCCGGAGCCGGCCGGGCCAGTCCCAGATCGCCCCGGCCCCCCGTACCTGGAGCTCGGCCCGCTCCACCTCCCAGTGCGCCCTCTCCATCTCGAAGCGAGCCCACTCGTGCTGGATGTAGTGCAGGATCCCCGGGATGGTGTAGTGCTGGGGCCGGGACAGCTCGGCGGGGCCCGCCGCCTCCTGACCGGCCGGGGCCGCGGGGCCCTGGGGCTGCGGCTGTTGCCCTCCTCCTCCGCCGGCTCCGACCCCCACGCAGCCCCCACCCGACTGCAGGTTCATGTTCCCACCCGCCTGCGGCGGCGGCTGCTGCGGTCTCGGGGCGGCCGCCATCCCACCGCCTCCTCCGGCTCCTGGGTGCTCGTCCATTGTCTGCGGGGAGCCCTCCTCCTCGTCCCGCGGCGGGGGCCAGGAGCAGGGGCCGGGGAGGGGGCGAGCGGCGCTGGCTGGGGCGGGGAGGAGGGGGCGGGCCGGGCGGGGGGGCTGCGCCGAGCGGGTCCGGGTGTCAGCGCAGCGCGGAGCCGCCGCCAGCCGCCATTACAGCCCCGCGGCCCTCCCACCCTCCCACCCGGCCGGGCGGGGAGCGAGCGGCGCCTGCCGGGAAACCGCGGCCTGGCCTCCGCTGCCGCCTGCGCCGCCCCACGCGCCTGCGCGGGAGAGAGGTGAGCGCCGCGCGCGGGGGGAGCGGGACGGGCCCGGGGAGCGGGACGGGCCCGGAGCTTCCTGCGGCGGGGCGGCCCCGGCTCCTCCTGCGCCGGCCCCGGGCCGGGCGGTGTCGGGGCCGGGGCGCGGGGCCCGGCCGGGCGGTTCCTCTGTGCCCCGGGTGACAGTCGGAAGTGGCGGCGAGGCTCGGTTCGCCCCGCCGCTCGGGAGTGCCGAACGCCTGGTAGAGCCGCGGGAATGTGGCCAGGCCGGGGCCTGCGGCCTAAAGCGACGCGCAGGCAGCGCAGCGCGGGCCCGGCGCTTCAGTGTTTGAGACTCTGCGCGGTTTAGTGGTGCGCTGAGTTTGCCCTACAAGGAGGTGGTTTAGAATAGATACATTAAATTTATGCTATGCTTCTGGATGCTGGCTAATCTCTGGTCATCTTCGTGTGTGTATGATGCATTCCCCCCTTGAGGAGGAGGAGTGCACCATGGTCGCTATTCAAAACTCCTCCACGTGAGGATGCTTTTGCAAGAAATTGCTGGTCTATTTTATCTGGCTCAGTTTTATCAGTGATAGCAATGCAGTATTGGAGGCTGTAGTTTGAATATGGTGAAATTGCCTTGATTGCAAAATACCACTCCGAAATGTAATACTTAAAATTATCATCACATCCTATTTCAAATGATCCATAGGTCACCCATTTTAAGTAAGGTAGGTCTTTGGTTTTGCCTCGCTTCAAAATTTTTACATGCTGTACTCATTCACTACATGGGTAGTTTCCTAAAAAAGGTCGATTCTTGACAGACCTGGAATTCTGTTAATTACTGGAAAAAAGCACTGTTTGTCTTAGTACTGGTGTTTCCTTTCATTACCAATCTCTCTTTAGGTGTGTATTGATGGTTCAGTTAGTTCATCCCGTCCTTCCTTTCTTCTCCATTAAATCATTTCCTACTAAAATGTCATTGTCCATTCTTCCTGATTCCATACTGATTAGGCAATCTAAGTCCAGCTCCTTTTCACCTCAGCTGATTTCTTTTTATTGTCTACTGACAGTTACCTAGTCATTATTAAAAACTGAGACTTAGCTCATAACTAGTTTAACCTTTTGTTTAGCTGCAGTTGTTCAGGACATTGCTCATTCCTGAGTATACAGGAATTATTGCAGTTTAATTCTGTTACTATATTCAGCCAGCATTTTGGCAACAGCAAAGGAAAACATTTTTATTCTTTCCTTCCTCTCTTGACTTCCCTAGATAATTAAGGTTGCTTTTTTAAAAAATCCCTGTCCTGAAACTGAACACAGTATTTTATTTTAAAACCATGCAGACATACTTGTTTCATCTTTTTGATGAATTGTTATGGGCAGAGTAATAAACTAGACTACAAAAATTACTCTTACTGGTAAATTTAAAATAATATGTTGTTTTATTAAAGCCTTGTTCACTGACAGAACAAAAGTAGGAAGACCAAGGGTTCTGATTCTGTATTTGGTCATTATTTGCTACATGGCTTTGTGCAGTAAATCTATAGGAAGGTCAATAACGAAAAATATAAAAAATACTTGTTACTTTTGCTACAACTCCTTGCGCTTCATGCCTGTATCATTTAGCCACTTTTAAATTTTCATTAATGCTTTAATACCAGTTTAACTGATTTTATTCTACATTTGGTGAAGGCATGGAGGGGAAGGCATATGGGGAGCAGCTGAGGTCACTTGGTCTGTTCAGCCTGGAGGAAACTGAGGGGCACCTCACTGCAGTCAACAGTTTCCTTGTGAGGGGAAGAGGAGCAGCAGGCACTGAGCTCTTCTCTCTGGGGCCCAGTGACAGGTCCTGAGGGACCTGAGAGGGTGGCCTGAAGCTGTGCCAGGGGAGGCTTAGGTGGGATATCAGGAAAAGGTTCTTCACCCAGAGGGTGGTTGGGCACCAGAACAGGCTCCCCAGGGCAGTGGTCACAGCGCTAAGCTGGGTGAGTGACAGAGTTCAGGAAGCTTTTGGACAATACCCTTGGGCACAGGATGTGACTCGGGATTTTCTGTGCAGGGCCAGGAGCCGGACTCAGTGATCTTTGCCAGTCCCTTCTAACTCAGAATATCCTATGATTGTACTTTCATACACACATAAAGTGCCATTAGATCTCTGCATCCAGAAAATCAACTTGCTTAGAGTTGGACAGAGAAGTACATTATTTGCCTATAGTTCTATCTAACATTTATTTTTAATTCTTGGTGAAGCAGTTCTGAAAATATGTAGTCATGCCATTTCTTCTTTGTGAGATTTTATCTCTTACATTCTAGCTAAGAGCCCTAGAATGTTGCAAAACTTTCTTAGACTAAAATAACTAAAATACTTCTAAATCTGTAGACGTTGACTGGAGTGGTTTTTGTTTGAGAGACACATGTCTTAATTTGAATTGCAGCTGTACTGCAAGTACAATTCAAACTTAGGTTGTGTTTCTTTTTTTATAATTTATGTGTCAGATTATGTATAAATATTGGCGAAATCTGTGACAAACTAAATTCAGTGCTTGTATCTATACCAGAGGAATTATTAAAATTGTATTTAAAATATACTTTATATTACTGCATGTAGAATCAGCTGGGTTGGCCTTATGGGAGACTTAAGATCTTTTTATCTGCAGAACAGGTATTGCAGGCTTTGCCTCTCTGTGAGGTCTCAGCTGTTATCTGAAAAGGAGCGTCACTCAAACAGGGACAAGTTACTTGGAGGTGTCTGATGTGGTTGTGCAGCCTGCAGAGCTGACACGTCCTGGAAGCAGCTCCTGAACCATGTCAGCCTGGCAGTGTGAGTCACACAGGCCAATCATGATATGAATTTTCTCTCATAGATAATTATCTGCAAGAGATGCTTTAATGAGGGTGAGATCTAACACACTGTAACAGCTCATATTTGAATCTCAGTAGAAAAACTGTATGTCATCTGCATGCATTCCAAATTATCTTGACAGGATATTTTGTAAGGGAAGTAAAGGAGAGTGCTACATAGTCACTCCAGAAGGTAATTTCTTTTGAAGGAAAGTTTGCAGTTTCCAGACTTGTTACATCTTCCCCAAGCCATACCTTCTGAGGTTTTTGTTTATAGGGAATCTTCATTCTGTGCTAGAGTTCCATAGGTGTTTTGTAGATTGGGTATGCAGGACATGCAAGGCAGCATATCCCATAGGCTGTTCTGGACAAAGTTTCTAATGCATGGCTGACTGGGATGGAGAGAGTTGGACTTGACAGTCCATCAGGATCTCGGTAGTCTCTTCCACTCTTTGGTTCCTAAGCACATTTGTGATGCAGATAGTTGTCCAGTGACCTGGAATGAGAGAGCCTATTCATTTCTGACAAACAGCCTTCAGATAGTAATGTCTTTTCATTACTAAAATGAGCAAAATAATGGCAGAGATATGAAAGGCTTGCATCTTGTCACCAATTCCCTTGAACCATATGATTCTGCATGCATAAAAGCACCATAATCTGTGTGTGTGTGCGTGGGTACATGCAGACATGTGCGTGAGAATGCTCAGAAAAGCGTGGAAGACTTCTACCAGAGGAAAGGTAGCTGGCTTTTTAAGCAGAGTACTGATTATTGATCATAAAAGGTAGCTTCTCAAATACAAAGAAGTTGGTGGAATGGGGTTTCTTTACCCATCAACATACACAGATATGCTTTTTGTTTGTTTATTATACTTCACTGGTTTCTGTACATCCTATATAAGCAAAATTAATTTTAATGTGTTTTCTGTATTTGAAAGCCAAGATGAAAAGAGAAGAAATAAATTTTGTTTGTTAGAAACAAAACTCAGTCATTTCCCTTTTGCCTAAATTGTACAAGCAGATGCTTTTACTACTACAAGTGGGTTTTTTTCAGAATTAGTTCTAAAGGAAATAAAGAAAGCCCTTAAGATGTTCTTAACACTAGCATTATTCTCAAAGTCAACTATGCTTGCATACTTTTTTGTAAATTTTTATAAAGTTATTATTTGAACTTGTTAATTTATTCCTCTTTTTCTGCACAAAACTGTGCTTGGGCTGCCATTTATATGAACAAAATTTCTGGTTAAAATCTTGAAGCCTATCTTTGAGACTGGTGGGAAAATAAAGAAATGGCTACACAAAGAGTGGACCTCTTTCCTGCAGATTCAAAGGTTGTTGATTATGTTTTCCAATCCTATGAATATTACAGTTAGCACTTTTGAGGGCTACTATGGTTCTACCTCTGTTGCAACCTTATTAGTTTTTTTTTCTTTTTCTAATCTATTCTGGATAAAAGCATTTGTGCAGATTCTAAAAAAACCAATCTCGTCTTAATATTTTCATCTGTAAAACAATCCAGGCCATTCATAAGGATACATGCAGATAAAATAGTCATAACATTAGGAAGGGATTAACCATGTACAAAGATTAGGTTAATAAAGGAATAATTAGGATTAGGGGCCAATCCTGCAGTAGGATCATACATATGAATTTGTCATATGTTTTGCTGTTATGTATTGCTTAACAGTAACTCAAAGTACAACAGCTCTGTCAGTGCTCCTGGAGTAGTTGTACTGTTCTCCCTGTCCTCCTTTTCTCAAGCCCTTGGTACCATTTATGACTAAATTATTAAAATAGTTTGGATCAAAACAGAGAACCATTAATTCCTGTTTCAGCAGCGCTGAACACAAAGATGAAGTGTGAAACTCAGATGAAAAAAGAAGAGCTGTCTATGCCCCTGTTATTTTCTGTTTAGCATGGACAGACGTCTTTTTCAGTTGGTCTCCTG